CTCTTTGTAAGTCATTAAGAACTTGCCTTATGTATCTGGGTGCTCCTGTATTGGGTGCATATATATTTAGGATCGTTAGCTCTTCTTGTTGCATTGATCCTTTTACCGTTGTGTAATGTCCTTCTTTGTCTCTTTTGATCTCTGTTTCTTTAAAGTCTATTTTATCAGAGATGAGTATTGCAACTCCTGCTTTTTTGGGCTCTCCATTTGCTTGGTAAATCTTCCTCCATCCCTTTATTTTGAGCCTTTGTGTATCCTTGCATGTGAGATGGGTTTCCTGGATACAGCACACTGATGGGCTTTGGCTTTTTATCCAATTTGCCAGTCTGTGTCTTTTGATTGGGGCATTTAGTCCATTTACATTTAGGGATAATATTGTTAAGTGTGAATTTGATACTGCCATTTTGATGCTAGCTGGCTGTTTTGTTTGTTAGTTGATGCAGATTCTCGATTGTGTTGATGCTGTTTACCATTTGGTATGTTTTTGGAGTGGCTGGTACTGGCTTCTATTTTTAATCCAGGCAGCCTTCACAAACAGTGCAGCCCCCTACACCCTGAGATGGACTCCTTCCCATTTTCTATTTTCTTTTGTTTATCTGAAGCATCCTTGGAAATTTTACTAATTAATTTCTCTTCTATAATCTGTTTTCAGACAGCCTGTAGAGCCCTTGTTTATCACCACCTCTTATTAAGTTTTATCAAAAAGTGTTTTTGAGGGATAGAAGATGCTTGGAGAGCAGCTAGGTTCAGAAAGGGGAAATGCTTTCTGGAATGTCACACAGCTATGAAGTCATGAGAGCAGAGCACAGAACTCCTGCCTACTTAGTAGTCTTGGCATTTTAAAAATATCTATCTGCCTTTTTTCTGAAAATGTTTTTGGCTTCAAGGAAGTGACCATGTAACTCAATGTCACTAGGGGTCTAGAGGCAGGATGGGCTCTGGGGTCATCTTTTTCTGTAGCCCCAGCTCCAGCTTCTCCCAAAAACCCTTGGATGCATCCTCTTTGTGCTCTGGCTTTGTCTTAGCATCACTTCCTTCATGGGGCAAAACTGCTGTTAGTCCCTGCCTGCCACACCTTCCTGCCCAGGACATCCCAGGAAAGAGACAGACAGCACCCCAACATTCCAACAAACAGTCTTGAAATCCTCCCTCATTGCACCCCTTCAGCCACATGCCCCTCCCTAAACAAGGATCAGGGCAGAAATTCCCACCTGCACTGATTGGATTAGGTCTAGCTCCTGAACCCACCAGTTGCAGGAGAATTGAGATGCCCCTGCACCAATCAGGCCCTCCCTTGGAGCTTGGCAGGGCTTCTGTCCCTGAGACACATGGCTGCCTGAGAGAAGAGTATATTACTGAAAAGAAGGAAAAGAAAGAGAAGAAGAGAAAAGGAGAGGCAGAGGAGGGGAAGAGGAGGAGGATCTATTGGGAAGCTGGGAGGGTGGATGCTTAGGAGCAATGACCAGTATTCACTAGAACTTTTCAATACTATACTACAAAAGACCTTTGCTGTCATCAAGGCTCTATCCACAGTGCTTGGCGTAGAAGGATTTGGGCATGAAGAACCTGGGAACAGGGGACACTCCTAGGTACAGGCCCTACCTCGTGTTCATTCATCTGTTCATTCAGTCAACCAGAAAGAGCCAGACATGGGAATTTAGCTGTGCAGACCCTGCTGGTGGCTGGCCCAGTTACCCCTTGCTGGTGCTGCTGTGAGAGTTGGCTGCTGACAGCTCACAGCAGCCCTCTCCTCTCCAGGAAATTGCCCTTGGCTGATAAGACCTAACTGACCCAGTTATGCACCATGACCTGCATCTAGGGGACAGATCACAGCCACCAACTGACGAATTCTGTCCAAAAGGTCAGCCTGGAGAGCCCTCCTGCTGCGGACCAGGCCAAGGCTAGATGTCACCTTGGCTCCTTCCCTTTTCTATCCCATTCCCCTCACTTCCCTGCAGGCTCCTGCTGAGACAACGGCCTCAATACATAACATGCACCTAATGCCCCATCTCAGGTTCTGCTTCTAGGGAACTTAATCTAAGACAACCATTAATAGCCTTTACTGTGGACAAGCTCACTATTACCTATGGATTACACACATATAAGATATAAATTACAAGAAGAAAGCAGACTAAACGATATAGCAGATGACCAAGCAAAAAAATCTGCCTTCATTTTACATATAAATTGGCGTAACCATTATTGACAGTAGTACGTCCAACCAGAAAAATCAAGAAGCTTTTTAGGCCAACATGCTTTTGGCATCTCTCTGCAGCATTGGGGCTGGAGATTAAGGGAAAACAGTAACTCAAAGTCTTGTCTCCCAGAAATTCACAATGCCATTGGAAGACGTGAAAGCTGAGAGGTGGGTGAAATGAGCAGCAGTCCAGAGCCAGGCAGACCTGGCTGTTCCTCTCCCATGGTGCCATCCCCATTCCCTCCCTGGGAAGCATGTAGGGAAGAAGGTTTTCTGGAGACCTAGGTCCTCCTAGAATGAGTATCCACCACCTAGAGAACATATGAGCTTAAACAAAGGGCTTGATCTCTGCAGATTAGTTATGATTCTTTTGGCTGAAGGGGAAAAAAATTTCAACTCAAACCAACCAACTCTGAAAGGGAAATTTATTGCCTTTTATAACTTGGAAACATGGATGTGTGTAGTAAATTGAGATAAAGCTTAGTGCAGGGACTCCAAAGATGTCATCAGATGTGTCAGTCCCTTTCCATCTTTCCACCTCCCTCTATCGGCCTCCTCTCCTTCTGCATTGGACCCCATGGCCACATTCAGCTTCTGGGCTACTTCACAAAGCCAGCTGCCCCAAAGTTTAAAAAGTTTTGCATTCCCTTAGAAAGACACTGATTGGCCTGATTTTGGTCACACTCTTATCTTTAACCAGCCAATGTGGCAAAGGAATGAAGTATTACGTTGACAGGTCTGGGCTACATGCCTATGCAATGGGGTATCCTCACTGTGGTCCAGTGGAGGGGAGAAGTTCCTCAAAGGAATTGAGACACTTTCCATAAAGAGGGTACAAAAACAAAAGATGTCTTCTGCATTCAGTCCTCCTATTTACAAAATGTAGAAAATCTTTCTAGTCCCCAGGGTGATGATAAAGTTTAAATGCTATAAAAGAGTCAAAGCACTCAAAAACTGCCATGTACAACACATACTAGTCACTTTATTTCTTCTTTCTTCTGGTCTTCCTCTGGGTTACATGTGGACAATGGGGTTATCATGTTCTTTTTTTCTGCTAACCTCAGGTCTACTACTCAACGGGATAGTCTTCAAGGAAAATGAACCCCACGCTGGGCCTGGCCATTTTTCTGGCTGTTCTCCTCACTGTGAAAGGTTTCCTGAAGCCAAGCTTCTCGCCAACCAATTATGAAGCTTTGAGCCAGGCCCAAAGGCAGAAGGAAAGAATGGCAGCCAAGAAGCTTACAAGGCAGAACATGGATTTTGGCTTCAAGTTGCTTAAGAAGCTGGCCTCTAAAAACCCTGGCAGGAACATCCTCCTGTCCCCCTTGAGCATCTCTACAGCTTTCTCCATGCTGTGCCTCGGTGCCCAAGACAGCACCCTGGACGAGATCAAGAAGGGGTTCAACTTCAGAAACATTCCAGAGAAAGATCTTCATGAGGGCTTCCATTATATCATTCGCGAGCTGAACCAGAATACCCAAGATTTCAAGGCGAGCATTGGAAACACCCTGTTCATTGATCAGAGGCTGCAGCCACAGAGTAAGTTTCTGGAAGATGCTGAGAACTTTTACAGTGCCGAAATCATCCCCACCAACTTTCAGAACTTGGAAAATACTCAGAAGGAGATCAATGACTTTATCAGTCAGAAAACCCATGGAAAAATTAACAACCTTGTCAAAAATATAGACCCTGGCACTGTGATGCTTCTTACAAATTATATTTTCTTTCGAGGTAAGGCTTTTGGCATGTTGGTGTGGAAAGAATAGGATGACCATTAGACTTGGATTAAAAACCTGGGTTGGCCACTTGTTTGCTCTGTGACCTTGAATTCATATGTGATTTATCTCTCAGAATCTCACTTTTTCTATCTGTAAAGTGGGTACCATGATACACAACTCATCACACAATTATTGAGATTTAAAGTGAAAATATATGTAAAATGAGCTTTATGAAGTCTATCATTTTCATTATTGGTGAGTATCCTAACACAACATTGGTTATACAGGTTGGAATGATGTTTTATTCTCATCTCCTAGATGAGAAAAAATTCAGAGAGAGATTAACTAACTTACTACAAAGCCCATCAATGAGAGTCAGGACTGGAACCCATTTCTTCTGACCCTAGCACTGTGTGCTTTCCACCACTCTAAGCAGACACCTGAGATGGTGATTGTGTTGATTATGGTGATGGTGATCACTTGGTGGGTCTCCTTATATATACAATACATAAAGTCTCTTTATCAGACTGAAAAAAAAGGTGGAAGAATGTTTCCAAATTTCAGCTTTATCCCCTAACACCACACAGAACACATGTACACAGACAGGTTGGCCAAAATAGGTGAGAATCAGAGGCCAACACCCATCAGTGCAGACATAATCACTGCTGGGATGTCAGCAACATGGTATTAAATATAAAAAATTGAGGGCTCTCAAAATCCACAGAGAGATTAATGGCTAAAGAGGAAAATAGGTGACCAATGGCAGCCTAAAATTTCAGTCTGCCCAAACCAGAGAAGGGAAGAGGAGAATCTGAAATTTCCTGAAATACCTATGTCCCCTAGATAACAATAGGAATAACAGTGAAAAGAATGCTGCTGATGATGACTAGCACCTACTCAACACTCACTATACACAGGCACTGAGCTGTGCTGCCTTATCCCACTACATGTCAAAGCTGTCAATATCCTCACTCCACAAATAAGAACACTGAGGTTCAGGGAGATTGAGACACTTGTCCAAGGTTAACCCTTGATAACCTTCTGGACAGTCAGATAGAACAGTGAGGCCAGGATTTGAACTCCGGGAGTTGGCCCTATAATGGGGACTCTGAGGTAGCAGGTTTGAAAGACCTAGGTCTGAGTTTATGCCCAATAGATCAAGGTATCTTCAGAGTCCAGGAACCCAGACTTCAGTGTTCACTGCTCTTTGGTAAGCTCCAACGACAGCCTGTTCCACCAGTTTTCTTAGTCCCACATGAGAGCAGCTCCTTCAGGGATGACTAGATTAGAATCAAGCATTTTTTCTCACATCAGACTCAATAAGCCATCATTAATTGTAATGCAATCCCCTTTGTTAAGACATAATCTATGAGCTTTCTCAGGCTTAGGGGAACCTGGGCTTATGGCAGTCTGATGTTCCTCTCTTAATTCGTCAACCTAGTCCTGGCTTCTTTTGGGGACTAATAATTGTACCTGAGCCCATCTCATCAAAAGTCTCCAGGACATGGCATGAGGGCAAGGACTTCCATGATATCCCAGAATATCCCCCTTTACCCTGAATCTGTCTGGACAGAGACCAGTGGTTAGTTGGATTTAGTCACCTTTTTCCCTTGGGATAATCATGTCATCTTGTCTTTCTTCAAACTAAGGCAAGTGGCGACATGAGTTTGATCCAAATCTAACTAAAGAGGAAGATTTCTTTCTGGAGAAAAACAGTTCAGTGAAGGTGCCCATGATGTTCCATAGTGGCATGTACCAAGTTGGCTATGATGATAAGCTCTCTTGCACCATCCTGAAAATACCCTACCGGAAAAATATCACAGCCATCTTCATCCTTCCTGATGAGGGCAAGCTGAAGGACTTGGAGGAGGGCTTGCAGATGGACATTTTCTCCAGATGGAAAACATTACTGTCACACAGGTAAAGAGGGGTGCCTAGGCCTTTCAGCTTTTTCCTTCTCCCTGTCTTCCCTCTTATTTATTCTATCTGAGCTCTTACCTTATGGCCAAGTTCTCTTCTGGGCTCTATAATAAACTTGTATTATGGTGGGAAGTGGACTGTGGAATGTATCACATGAACAGAGTGAGGTTCTTGGCTCTTTGAGGGAGATGCATCAAGACTGTGAGAGCATAGTAGATGGAGTCTTAGTGGAGGGCAGTGGTCAGCGAGGACTTCACAGAGGATATTTGTGCCAAGCCTTCAAGGCTGAGTGGCAGTCTGTATGAAAGGGGGAGGAGCAAAGGAAACTGCAAGGACAAATAGGGGCTATAAAAGGGGGCTGTGAGTTGTTCTCTGTGAGTAGAATGATGTTGTCAACTGCGGTGTCACACTAAAACCCATGAAGTGTCCCAAGTAAGTTACACGAATAATAGTTGAAGAACCAAAGGGAGTAAATATTTTTCTTTTAAAACACAAACTGAGATTAGATTAATGCCAAGCCTACAGAATTCCTTCCAGGAACTTGCTTACTGACAGATTTTGGGGTGAGAGGTAAGGGTTGATGTTGGGTTTTCCTCTTGGGGACATGGGACATAGTGTCAGCATGGACATACATGGTGCCTTAAAAGTGGCTGGGCTAGCGGCCTCTGGTGGCCAGAGCAGTGAAGGTGATGTAGCAGAGTGGACAGCTTCCACTTGGACAGGTGTCAGATGGCCTCTTCTGTGTTCTTCTCGTTCCCTCTTCCAGCTCTCCCCTGTCATCATTCCCCATGCATCTCCTTAAAGGTGTTTGCTGAAAACTTCTGCCACACCTGATGTCCTATCAGGCACCAAGGACGGTTCCAAGGGAGGTAGAGATGATGCCAGGACTGAGCTTGGCAACTCATGGGTAGTAACTGAACCGATGCAACTCCTTTCACAGAGAACATGGCCTTGGAGGCATCATTGCAGAAGGCATCTCTGATATCTAAAGTGAGCTGCAGGCTTAAGAAAGGGAAATTCTGATTCCAAATGTTTCCAATAAAGTCACAGTTCTGGGAGCAGGGAGCGAAGTGGCACAGCATCCCAAGAGCACTGCCATCCCTTGATATTGTCATAGCCTCACCTGCCCTTCCTATTGGGAATGAGGGAGCTGCAAGGATTGGCAGGGTCTGGCCACTAAAACAAAAGGAAGGGTCCAGGTTACAACCTTTAGCCGAGATCTGGTCTTCTCATCTATGGTGTGTGGTCATACTCTTGCCGACATCACAGTACTCTCAAGAGAATAAATGTGCCTTAGCACAGCATTGCCCCGCAGAAAACACACCCAAATGTGAGCTCCTCTCTCCTTCTCCCTCCCATTGACTGAAGAGGCAGAGTTCCAAGGTACCTCAGCAGAACTTTTCAACCTCTGGTTTACTGAATGGCAGGTGTCCTGCACATCTGGTCCTCTTACCCTCAGGTTGAAGACCTAGGGCAGCTGCCTTTCCACTGAAGAAGATGTTCCCAGCGGGAAGGGCAGGTGAGGCTGTGCAGATCTCAAGGGATGGCAGCACTCTCGGGATGCTCTGTCACTTTTCTCCCCTCTCCCATAAATGTGACTTTATTGAAAGCATTCAGAATCAGAATTTCCCTTTCTTGAGCCTGCAGCTCATTCTAGATACCAGAGATGCATTCCGCAATGATGGCTTCAAGGCTGTGCTCTGTGTGAAAGGAGCTGCATCAGTTCAGTAAAGTTACCAACCACAGGATGCCCCATTTTGTCTCTTAACATGGGGACATTCCCAAAGGGACTGACATGTTTCCGCCTGCACTCTACAGAGTTTTAGAGTTCACAGAGATGGCTTTGGAGGCCTCCCTAGGGAATTGAGGGGTGTAGAAAGTGAAGATAAGGTGAAAATGGGAGGGATACCAGATTTTCCATCTCACTTCATCCAGAAGTCCTGGCTTTGTGAGACTTGGACTCCAGAAGATGATGTTTCCTGTAGGACTCAGATTACAGTGGCTTGAGACCCTGCAGTTGCTTTGCTGGAACTCGGCGTCCTGAGTGCACTCTACCCCCATCTCCAAGCCATGTCTGACAGTTTCCTACGGGGCTACAGCTCAGGTGTTGCACTGGGGGGTTCACAATCCCCTCGCCAAGGCCCTCTGCAGTCCCTGCTGCTATGACCACCATCAGGCCACCACCAACCACACAGGGATGTTCCCTGGGCACTGCCACCATCTCTCTGGCTTCAAGCTTCGTCACATTTTGCACCTTTACTCAAGAGTGGAATAGAACCTTCAAGATTTTCTGTAGGCTAGCACCAACCTTCCTGAAGATTTGTGAATAACAGAACTAAAGCTCCTCACAGGGACTCAGGATAACTTAGAGTCCATGGAAGTGGCATCTTATGAAGTCCAAGTGCAGGCTGCTCTCAGGCTCTCTTCTAGGGCACTTCCTTCCATTTAACTAGTGCCTAGGCTTCCTCCCTGATCCTTCTGGGACTGCTCCCCACATCTCCATGACTTGAGGCCAGGCCTTCCTGCCAGGAGGGTCATGGAGAGGAAGGTTCCTCTCACCCCAGTGATCTCTGGCCTCCCCAGTAACTTCTAGCCTTGAAATGACAGACAGGTTAATAATCTCCACCTTCCGGAGAAGAAACTCCAAATCCTCTTGCCGGACAGGGGGCTTGCCCACAGTCCCCAGGGAATTACATTTTGTCAGAAAATGTTCCTACTTTCTGAGCTCATTATGTCTGGGAGACAAGTGGTCAAGTCAGTTTGATCTACAGATGGAAAGCCTAGTCCAGACACCTCAGTGGTCCCCTATGGGAGAGCAGAGGTGGACGGGCTATCCCTATGTGCTCTTTCTGCAGTTCCCTCCAGACTGCAGGGCCTAGAAGACGCCAAAGAGAAAAATCACCTTTTCCCTAAAAAGAAGTAACCAAGTCCACAGACACACCCCAACTTACATGCGGGTAGAATATGTCAGGATTTAGACTTCAGAGACTTCCACCTGGCCTCTGTGCAGGAGGCAGACACCTGCTCTGGATTTGCATAATTTGAGGCCACCTGCTTTTCCATACGTGTTGGTATATGCACTCACCTGCCAGCAGCAGCTGCGTTTAGCACCTTCCCACATTGGCACAAACTAAAGCCAATCTCCCCACTTGTGCACTGGACCTACGGCCCCTCACTACTCAGGAACGTCACCCTAGAAGTCCTCTCCTCTCTTTCCTACATCAGCATATATTTTTATCTCTTCTGAATCATTTCTATCATTTACAGAGATGCTCTTATCTTTTCCATCATTAAACCTGGAAGGGGGCCAGGGATAACTTACAGTTCATAGAAGTGCTTCTCTGCAAGAAGACGAAGCAGATGTCTGCCTTCTGTGCATGCCGCCCTGTAAGGCTTGTGCTGGCCTGCAGGAAATCTCAAGGCTATTATTTTTCCAACATAAAAGCTTCTCTTGACCTCTGCTTTTTCCCAGTTATTCCTTCATTTCATCACTGCTCCTTTGCAGGTGAATACCATGAAGCAGTTGCCTCTATTCATGGCCCCTAGTCCCTCTCATCCCCTCCTAAGCCCACTCTAGTCCAGCTTCTGTGCCCACTTTTCATGGAGAGCTCCCTTCCCAGGCACCAAGGGTGTCTGTGTTGTGGAGCAGTCAGTCTCAGGATCCGTTGTTGGGCCGGTTGGTGTCCCCACCTTCTTAAGGCGCTCTTCTCTTGGCTTCCACTTCTCTGCTCTCACAGCGCCTCCCGCCTCTCCCCTCCTCAGTCTCCTTTGCTGGAGACCCCTCTCCTCCTCCAGGTCTCAGAGGTGAGTGTCTCAAGGCTCAATCCCCAGCTTTCTTTTCTGTCTATCCTTACCCCTGAGTGGGCGCACAGGCTCAGAGCTTTAACACCACCTCTGTTACCACCACTGCCACGCTTCTAGCCCCAGACCCTGTTTTCCCCCAAACTCCAGAGTCATGGATCTTTCTGTTTACCCAGAATCCCCCCCAGATGTGCAATTGGAGCTTAGTGTCAACATATCCAAAATGGCATCCTGATCTGTCTCCAGTGAAGCCCTCCGAGCTTGCCCATCTCCGTCAATGGCGACTCCATCTTTTTAGTTGCTCAAGCCAAAAACCTTGGAGTCACCCTGACCACTCTCAAATGCCCCATTCAGTCTGTCAGGAAACCCCTTTAGCCTACAGCAAACTACATCTGGAATTTGTGCTTCCCCGTCATCTCTATGACTCCCAACATCTGATGACCACACTCGCTTCCGAATGGTCTCCCAGCATCGATTTTTGCCCATCCCCACTTCACACACATCACCACCACCTTAAGGTTATAAGAGTGTAATCTGCACAGAGGAAACAGAAAGATCCTTTTAAATCCTACACAAGACCATGTCACTCCTCTGTTCAAAACCCTACAGTGACTCCCCATTTTCTTCAGGAAAATAACTCCCTTGCTTGCCTCAAACTTTGCTCAAACCTAGGCCCCAGCCTTGATTCCTGCAAGTTGATCTATATATATTTTTCCATGGCACTTACTGCCTTCTGCATACTACCAGTACGTGTATGTTGGTTTAGGTGGTACTTTTTGTTGTGTTGATTCTATCACCTGTCTTCCCTGCTAGAACACACAGTCAGGGACAGGGAGCTTTGCCTGTTCTGTGCATAGATGCGCCTCCAGCACCTAGAACAATGCCTGGCATACAGCAGGCATTTAATAAATGTTGAGTAACTGAATGAGTGGAAAGGTAAATGTGGGAGTCTTTGGGGCTGTCGATAGTTAAAGCTGTGAGACTGAGTGGCATACATGGGGAGGGAGTGAAGGCAGAAAAGAGAAGGGGAATAAGGTCTGAGGCCCGAAGCAGCAGCCTAGCCCATAGAGATGGGAGGGGTGGAGCCAGACAGGGGCAGGCATCAGGGGAAGGAGGGAAGGCTCGAGGGGTGGGCTTGGAACGCTTCACCCTGGAGAAAGGGATTACTGTCAGGTGCGGCTCGCTGTGAGTCAGCTCTGGGACGTGGAAGGCTGGGCATCAACAGGGGCTCTGGAAAGAGTTGCTTCTGTAGAAAGTTGAGGTCAAAGAGCTGACTGGAGTGGACTGAGGCAATCATGGGAAAGAGTGGAAATAACTGGCAGAGACAACCTCTGCTATAAAAGGAAGAAAAGAAATGAGCTGGCAGCTGGAGAGGCTATTCAAGGCCAAGAAAGGTCTCTTGACGTTAGTTTTTGAGGATAGGGTTACTCTATCGTGCGGCCTGCTCCAGAGGAGGATGAGAGGGCCTCTGTTTATGGGTGATACAGGAGAGAGGGGACACATAGGCAGGAATGAGGTCTTTGGGTAGGTGGGAAATGAGGTGCAGGGCCAGCCAAGTGAACAGGAATCCAGGCCTGAAAGTACCTCAGGAGCACCTGGCCCTAGACTCCAGGCAGGAGGCTGATCGGTCCAGCCACAGAGGGTGTGAAGCTGCTGGATGGATGCCTGCTCTCTGCTAAGCACCAACTGTCTGCTGAGTGCCTTGTCTGCATTTGCCTTAGCACCCCTAGTGAGGTATTGATATCATCTTTCTTCTCGCATAAGTGACTTACAAAGGGAAGCTCACTTGCCCCAAGTTGCAGAGCTCATGAGAGACAGTGTGGATTTGAACTCAGTGCTGTCTAGCTCCTGATCCTGGGTGCCCTGTTGCCTCCAGTGTCAGGTCTTCTGGGGTCAGGATGGGCTCGGGGCTCGGGGCTCGGGCACTGCAGAGACTGCAGTGAGGACATCTTCAGGGACTGGCTGAGGGGCCCGGAGATTTGGAGGGACTGAGAATACCCCCTGTGGATGAGGGCCCTGGGGCAGGTGTGCTGGGAAGCAGGAACACAGTGCAAAGAGCATATGGTGTTTTGAAACCACGGTCCCAGGGTGAAGGAGCCCCTCCTCATTGCGTGGATGGAGAGAGATTGGAGACCTTTGGGGCTGGAGGACAGATGTTTCGTTCCTCATGTATCCTGAGGCTTGCCCTGCACAACAACGGGGCTCGACCACTCACCCTTGTCATGTCCATTTCCCAGGGTCGTGGATGTGTCTGTGCCCAGGCTCTACATCACAGGCACCTTTGACCTGAAGAAGACCCTTTCCTACATGGGTGTCACCAAAATCTTTGAGCAGCATGGTGATCTCACCAAGATCTCCCCTCGTCGCAGCCTGAAAGTGAGCGAGGTAAGCCCGCCGGGTTTGACTCTGTTCCTGCAGCACAGGGGCCTTTGCCCAGCCCCAGGCCAGACCCAGGGTCACAGTGGCTGTTAGGGCCAGGACTCTACCCCCCAGTTGAGGTGGCCATGAATCCAGCCCCTTACCAAGCCTGTGATCCTGGGAAAACCACATAACCCTTGCCAGTCTCATGCTTCCAGTCTTTCAAACTGCTGCTATTTGGGAAATCAATTCAATGTAGCAAATGTTGATCAAGGCCTAGAACAGTTACCAGGCCTCAAACTGGTCTAGGTCTGACCCAGATTCAGACTCTCTCTCAAAGGCCACACATTTCTTTTCTTTTTTCTTTCTTTTTTTTTTTTTTTTTTTTTTTTTTTTTTTTTTTTTTTTTTTTTTTTTTTTTTTTTTTTTTGAGATGGAGTCTCACTCTTGTTGCCCGGGCTGGAGAGCAGTGGTGCATCCTGGCTCACTACAACCTCCACCTCCCAGGTTCAAGCGATTCTCCTGCCTCAGCCTCCTGAGTAGATGGGATTACAGGCACCCACCACCACACCAGGCTAACTTTTTTGTATTTTTAATAGAGACAGGGTTTAGCCATGTTGGCCAGGCTGGTCTCAAACTCCTGACCTCAGGTGATCCACCCACCTCGGCCTCCCAAAGTGCTGGAATTACAAGCATGAGCCACCGCACCCAAAGCCACACAGTTCTTAAGAGTTAGCAGTAAGCATGTGCTGCATAGGAAGAGATGATCATGCAAAGGGCCCTGTGATCTCTGGCAAAGGTGAGCACCTGACTGTCTGGGGCGAGAAGAGAGCATCATACAGGTAGGGTCACTGGATTTAGCAGATTTAGTACAAGATACCCAATTAAAGTTGAATTTTAGATAAACGATGAATAATTTTTGTAGTGTCAGTATGATCCAAATATTGCACGGGACATACTTACAGTAAAACATATTCATTATTTAACTTGAATTCAAATTTCACTGGATGTCCTGTATTTTACCTGGCAACCCTACTTTGGGGTTAAAAAGGCATTGAAGGAGGGGAAAGATTTCCACAAGCAGAGATGGGTGCCGTGACGGGTGCAGCAGCGTGGCCAAGGCTGGGGGTTGGATATCATGGAGCAGTAGGTGGTGGGGACTGGGTGCTTAGTCAGAGATGAAGTGGGAGGTTCAAGCCAGGCTGGGAGGGATCCAGCTTGCCAAGCTGAGCCCACTGCTCTCTATCAGATGGCACAGATTCCACTGTACTTTTCACGCTGACGTAAGAAACAGTTAGATTGTTCAACACCCGCCTATGAGTGAGAACATGCGGTGTTTGATCTTCTGCTCTTCTGTCAGTTTGCTGAGAATGATGGTTTTGGGGAGCGATAGCAAGGGGAGAGATGCCAGATGTAGGTGATGGGGAGGAAGGCAGCAAATCACACTGCCACGTGTGTGCCTATGCAACAATCTTGCATGTTCTTCACATGTACCCCCAAACCTAAAATGCAATAAAACAAATTAAAAAAAAAAATAAAAAATAAATTTTAAAAAAACTCTGAAAAAAAAAAAAAGAAACAGAATTACTAGAATTTTCTCACTTTCGAGCTTTCCCACAGACTTTCCACAAACATTCAATGTCAGCTCTGAAGGTCTTGTTGGGTCCAATGGCTCATTTCTTTCTGTAGTTACATTTGCTGACAGCTGTGATTCTAACACAGGATACTGTCCAGTTTTCTGCAAGTAAAATTGTGAGAATTCTGGAGACTAGAAAGAAATGTGCCAGGATCTCACACAGTCCTGTCAGTGTCCCAGTGCTGATCACCTGTTTACAGATGTTGATGCCTTTGGAGTGGGTCTGGGATGCGTCATCTCAAAAAGCTAACTCAGAATCCTTCTCCCTCCTAATCATCCACCAGGCGGATCAAAGGGGGTGCTGGAGGCTTCCGGGTAGGGATCCCACCATCTCACTTTCACCTCCTTTTCTGCCACGGCTATGATTGATGCTTCCCTGTAACCCATGAGAAAGAGAAGAAAATGCCACTCCATCTCTCCCCCCACCAAGTCCCATAACTGATGCTCCCCTTGCACCATCTTTTCCTTCATGTGGCATCTACCTGTCAAATATTCTCCAGCAATAATGGCAAAAGAGACAGGAACCCTGGGGTGGCTGATACCAGCCAAGTTACTGCTGTGCTGCATGGCTTTGGCCAACTTGTTGCCCTCCCTGATCCTCTCTGGGTCTCTGGCCCACCATGGTTACCGAGCAGCTTGGCAGTCCCTGACTTTGACCTTGGCTTCCATAGGCTGTGCACAAGGCTAAGCTGAAGATGGATGAGAGGGGCACAGAGGGGGCCGCCGGCACCGGAGCACAGACTCTGCCCATGGAGACACCACTCGTCGTCAAGATAAACAAACCCTATCTTCTACTGATTTATGACGAGAAAATATCTTCCATGCTCTTCCTGGGAAAGATTGTTAACCCTACTGAAAAATAAAGGAGCAAGATAGACAAGCCCTATCTTCTACTGATTTATGACGAGAAAATATGTTCCGTGCTCTTCCTGGGAAAGATTGTTAACCCTCAATAAAGGCAAATTCCTGCTTGCTGCAGACCCTGAACATGGCTTGGGGCTAAACATGTTTCATCTTCCAGAAATGGATGTCACAGGCACAGTCAGTTCAGTCCCTCACCATCACCATCTCCCTAGGCTGCTCGAATGAGCAAAATTGCAAGTTCTAGGAACCCCTGTGCCCCGTTTCCTTCCTGCCCACTCAAATGCTGGGATTCAGTGCGCCACCTCCGCCCACTTAGGGGCATTCTCCTCTCCCCTCCAGCAGGCTGAGGGACTCTGTGATTTAATAAACAAACGTTTCTCCCCACAGCCCTGCCCCAGGTTGACCGGCTGTTGGTGGGTAATTTGGAGAAGCTATGGGCCACAGAAAGTACCTGGAGTCTGGAGTGAGAGACTGCAGTTCAAATCCCAGAATGAGGTATCTCTGGGAAAGCCACAAACCCTCTCTGAGCCTGTCTTCTTATTTCTGAAGAGAGAATCCTACCACTCCCTCTGGGGCTCTGAGGATGCTAGCTCTGTGCTTTAGAAAAGTTGGTCCCCCTCTGTGAGCCCTTGGCCAATTATCCTCCCCAGAGTGTCCACGTGGGAGCTCTGGGCTCAGCCAGGCATCCAGGTGGATGGGGAAACAGGGATGCGGTCAGTCCAGCCCCTCAGGCAGCATTAGAAGGATGAAATCTAGAGTAGCAGCTAGAACTTACCGCCAGCTTTGTCTATTTCAGTCACTAAAGAAGATCCCAGCACCCTCCCTCCCCTGCCTCCTCCCCATCTTGTTGTCAAAGGCAGGTCCTTCGGTTTAAACCTGTTAGCAAGTTCAATTGAAGGGTGAGTGAGGTCCCTGCACCAGCCCCATAAAATGTGGCCCTGCAGGGTAGCCTGTGGCCACTAGAGGTGGCCAGTGCACAGGTTCAGAGCACACTGGGTGCTCGCAGGGCCCTGCACAGTTTCCCTGCCTGGGGCAGGCTCAGTTCAGGCATCAGGTTCCTTCCTCTCAGGCAGGGAATTCCCACGGGTTCAGGTGTTTGGGGAGGAGAGGATACTGGCTGGCTTGACACAGGGAAGCCTCGGCTGGCGCCGCTTATCATTTCTCCGGGCGTGTTTAGCAGTTTGCAGCTCATGGTGTCTTTTGTGTTCTGGACACGGGTGCCTTCTGAGCAGCCAGAATGGGCGTCCCTATGTCGGACGTGGAAACTGAGGCTCAGAGAGGTGAAGTGGCTTCCTAGTGGCCTCAGGGTTAGCCACAGGCAGCAAGTGCCCCATCTTCTGGTTTGGGGCAGGAAGGGAGGGGTCCCAGATGCTGGAGGAGAAGACCACCTGGGGCTCTTGGACAGGGATGAGGGCTGAAGCTGGGAGCCCAGAGTGCGCAGCCCCTTTTGAAGAAGGTGGGGGTGGGGGAGAAGGTTGAGACCCCGCACAGGGACACAGACCTGGGAAAAAGGCTGGGAATCCCTGCCCAGCCCTTTGCCGACATCATTTCCCCTGCCCCAGCCTGAGGGGTGGATATGGAAAGACACAGAAACCCTTAGCCACTGTCTCAGGTGCACAATAGATCACACTGGGGAAGTGGCAGTGCCAGAAAAGCCATTGAGTGGCCAGGTGACTTGGGCATGCCACTAAACCTTTCTGAGCCTCAGCCGCTTCATTTACTGAGAGAAGGTCATAATATCTACCTCCAGCAGCTAAGGTAGAGACATACCCTCTAACTACCTACCTACCTCTGAGGATCACGTGAGGTTGCAAGGCCGTCGTGCCTGGCACGGGGGCATGCAGTAGACAGCCCCGGCCATGGTCCTCCACCGGCCCTCTCCAGTGTCTGTGGTGACCCAAAGTTTCCCCAAACTCTGCCCTCCAGGCATTTGCTTCTGCCATCTCCTCTAATGGGAATTCCCTCCTCCAGCCTAACAAGCTCCTACTCACCCTTTAATACCCATTAGGACCTCTTTATGAACTCCTCTCTACCTTTTCAGCATCTTCCAAGCACCCTCTTCCAAGCAGCCTTCCAAAACCCTCGCCTCCATGCTTGAGGCTGGCGGGTAGGTCTGAATGTTCCCTCCAGCCCCATGTGGGCTGCAGTCAATCCTCCATTAAATGATGACTTCCGGGCTGCAATCTCTGAGCTCACTACATGTAGACCGGCTCCTGGCTCCATGGGGTTAATATTCAGTGAGGGAAGCCACCACGAATCCAGTAAACACACATCTGTCATGAGCTGCAGTGGGCACTGTAAAGGAGACTTTGCAGAACTTGCGAAGGGTGTCACAGAGGGGTCGTGTCCAGCCCGAGCGCCCAAGAAAGGCTTCCCCAGAATGTAATATTTAGGAAGAGCTCCAAATGCTGGGAACTCATCTGTTTTTAAACTGTAGTTAGGAATTAAAACTGCACATAGGGCTGTTTTTCCATCATGATTAATAATAAATGAAATACTGGTTGGTATTTCTAAGTATACAAATAGGAATCAGCCATGTTTGAGTTTTTTATTCATCTTCCCTTTGACTAATTCTGTTTTTAAAATGACCGTTGCATATCCTAAATATTTTTAAATATAATTGTCTGCTTTCATAGCCACATTTGTATTATTCACTGCAAAAATAAGTTCTATTTTCAAAAAGGAAAAAAGAGGAAGAAGTGAGGTTGGGAGCCCAAGGAGGCCCCACCAAGCAGTGGGAACTGTTGTGCAAAGGCCCTGAGGTCAGTGGTGGCATGGGTGAGGAGCTGAAATGAGATGAGTGTTGTCAGAACAGCAAAGTAAGCAAGAAGGCGTGGGAGCAGGCTGAGAGGCATGTGGGAACTTGTGGGCCACAGAGGGGCGCTGGTCTTTAATTGAAGAACTATGGCGGGCTGCAGCAGGTGTGGGCAGCAGGTGTGAGAGTGTTCAGGCAAGCCCATGTGCTGTATGTCCCTCTGCCTGCAGACTAGGTGTCTTTGTACCCCTGTGCCCATGCCAGTGAATGCCACAGAGCACACATGCAGCAAGCACTTGCTGGAAAAAAAAAAAAAAAAAAAAAACTACCCTGTCAATCACCTTTGCCAGACACGCCCAGCCCCCTCCAAAGCGCCCCTCTCCTCTGGGAGGGGAGTCGCATGCCTTAGCCTGGCAGGCCTGCCCACTGGGATGTGGTTGTGCCTGCTCACCTGCTCCTTCTTGTGGGTCTGCGTGCCACCTCCCTACATCTTCCCACCCTCCCTGGATGCTCTCCTTGCTTCTCATCCTCTCCCACTCCCACCACCAGTGTGTCACTAGTCTTCCAGGGAAGATCAACCCCTACTCCTTCTCAGAAGCCTCCCCAGGTCACATATTTGTGGGCTGACCGACCTTGTGAATAAATGAGTGAATGAATGAGTGGATTTTGATGTTGACGTAACCAACACTTCCTAGATGCCTATTGAAGCCTGGCACTGCACGGGTGCTTTCCCCGCCTCACTGGCCCACAAGCCTTCCAGTTGGTGTGACTATCCCATTATACTGATGAGAAAATTGAGGCTCAGGAAGATCTCATCACTTGCACAAGGTCCCACGGCCAGATAGACACAGAACTGGGACCAAATACAAGTCCCCTGAGCACTTGTGGCTTTTATTTGTCCCATCAGTTCATCCATCCATCCAACCATTCAACAAATGTTCACTGAATATATTTTATTCACAAGCCCCTAAAAGCCCCTCTCTGTCCCCACACAGAGAGGACACTCAGGGAAAGGAAAGGAGAAGAGAGGAGAGGGGAGGAGAGAAGAGGAGAGGAGAGGAGGAGAGGCAGGAAAGGGGAAAGGGGATAGGGAAGAGGAAGGGACAGAGGGAGGGAGGGAGAGAAGGAAGGAGGGAGAGAGAGGGAAGGAAGGAAGGAAGGAGGGAAGGAAGGAAGGAAAGAAGGAAGGAAGGAAGGAAGG